TGTATCCCACACCCCTCGCTATATATTCCTTGTTACACTATAACTCTGGAGCTCAAACTCAGGAAATTCTGCACTGGTTAAACAAAAACAACAAAGAAAATCCTCACATCCCCCTTCTCAGACACCTTAGAAATTAGGCATCCTTAAGATGAAGATTTCTAATGGAAATAGGATTTCTGCCTGGCTCATTTCCACAGAATTTAACATTGAGAGAGCCAAGGCCTGGGATTTATCCTTAGTTCCTGGGCAAAGGCCAAGAAAACAGAGCCAGACAGACAGAGAGGACAGAGTTGTGAGGCTCCATACTAAAAAAGACACCAAAGTGAGGTACTAAATCACAGGAAGTTGGTGCGGGCTCAATGGTATGGGTCCAGATCTAAAAGCACAATTATTATAAGTGACTTGTGAAGGCACTACCTAATTCCTCAGCAAATCAGCAGTTGCACTGGAAATTTCAGAGTGATGATAAGTAGGAAAAGAACTAAAAAGTCAAGGTTAAGGAGATGGAGTACAGGGGAATCCAAGAATTGCTGAGATTACAGAAGAAAGATTTTGAGAAGGTATGGGTGAGAAATATCTTGGATCTGAGATAAAGGATAGGATCCTACACGACGGAGACCGGGCTCAAAGGCAGAGAGATGTTAAGGCATTAAGCTACAGAAGGAATTCTATTTCTGAAGGAGAAAAGGTTGGGAAGAAATGAGGGTTGTATCTGTAAAAAGGGGTCCTTGGAGAACATGGTAGTAACTCAATAAAGGGGAGGGGGTGAGAGGCTTAAAACGTGTGCATGAGTGTGTGCGTCTGTGCGTGTGCGTGTGTGTGTAGCTCAGAAGGAAACTCCCCAAAAGGAAATGCATGTGAGGGCTCTGCGCCAGGAAAAGCGATCCAGAGGACTGTGGGAGCAAGGCTCCCTTACAGAGGGTGTCCCGCAGGAGGCCAGACCCGCAGACTCACCTCGGCCATAGCCCTGCGTGTGCTTGGCGAAGCTCCTTACCACGGCCTCCACGGCCTCTCGCAGCACCGCGGGGCTGCCGGCGGCGCCGGGGGGCAGCGGCAGCCCCGGGGCCCCCGACAGGAGCA